ATACCAAAATTGGTTTATTAAACCCCAAATTATTTTTCTTTAGTGCTGATTACTATCTGCAGCTATGCTACTTCATGCATTTTTCTTCAGAAATATCTTACTGTCGGAACTAGAAATTTGCAGCCTGTGTAACTTTATTGTTCCTTCCATGAAATACTGAAAAGGAAGTGTTCCTAGGAGGGACTGTAAAAGCCTTCTGCCTCCTGAGGTTTAGTTCTCCAGGATTGTAAGTAGACAAAGAACGGACCAGACAAAACTAAGGGTAGAAGGAAGGGGTAGAAGAGGAATGAAATTCAGTGTTTCTCTTTATCATGAGCTCTAAGAGTTTGCCCTCGATATATATGTGATCTCAGGTTTTACTAAAATACCACATTTTTAACTGTGGGGAGGAATTCGTATCTTTCAGGAACAACCATGCAAACAATGTAATAGTTGCACTTTGACTTTAATCCTGAGTTCTCACTGCATTTATTTTTAAAAACAACTGTGGAACAGACTAGAGAATTATTGATAAAAGTTTATTTTTTAATTGTTCTTTTCAAGCAGTCTCTCTTTACACTAAGTGTAAATTTAACTCCTGAATGAGGTACCATATGCTGTTGTCTATGGTTTAAATCTAACTCATTGCAAACAACTTGTCATCCTAGAATCAGAGCATCGTTTGGGTTGGAAAAGACCTTTAAGATCATCCAGTCCAACCATTAACCTAACACTACCAAGTCCACCACCAAGCCAATTAAGGGTAGAGTAGCAATTTCATGTTTCCTGGCTTGGTGGCTGGATTAGTTTTTAATGAAAGTAAAAACTAGGAATCATTAAGACTGGAAAGGACCTCTAAGATCATCAGTCCAACCATCAACCCAACACCCCCATGCCCACTAAACCATTACCCTTTCCGTGAAGAAATTTTTCCTCCCCTGGCGCAGCTTGAGGCCATTTCCTCTCATCCTATCACTTGTTACTTGGAAGAAGAGACCAACACCCACCTCGCTACAACCTCCTTTCAGGTAGTTGTAGAGAGCGATATCAGTTCCTCAGTGTTTTGGGTTGTTCTGAATTGTTTTTCAGAACCACTTAAAAATAAACTCCTGTGGCATGTGGTTCCAAAGCCACCAGCAGTAGCCTGCTCTGGGGGCTAACTCACAGCAACAGAAGCTAACCTGGACAGGTGGTTATGTTACCTGAGGCTCTTACGTTACCAAATTTCACCTCCTCCCCAACATTCTGTTGACAAACATGTTTAGATTTTTTAAATCAAGACAATAGATTCTCCATGCACATGTGCCATCATAACTAAGTCTTTGCCAAAATTCTTCGCTTCTAAAATGGAAATGTAATTCAGGTTTTTGTTAAACTGCAATGCCTACAAAAATGCCTAAACAGCAGAAGTCATCTAAAAATCCGTGTGGTCTTAAGTTCCCAAAGAATTAAACAGGCTTTTAGTGTGACAGCTTTCCCCTCTGAGTATGTCTTCAGTCTTTCTGCCATCTTTAGCAATATGCAAATGTTAAACCAGCCGGCATTCTGCTATTGGGAACAGTGGCAGGCAGGGCAGAGAAGAAAAAGTGCTATCATCTATGTAGGGTTTTAAGGACGCTCAAGTCCATGTATTTCTCTACTGTCACCTTGCCCATTCTGTTCCTGGGATTTGTTAATGTAACTTCCAAATGTGGTCTATCAACTTGTTATTTTTTAGCAAGCTTGAGTGAGTGAAACTGCTGTTTTAACTACCTCTGTGAATAAAGTCATACAGAGCAGAATTTCTTCTGTTGGCTTGTTTCCTTAACTGTATTATACATGTAAGTCCAGGGCTGCATTTACAGGAACCCAGTCTGCTTTAGAGAAGTTGACAGTGTAAATTTATACCAGTTCTTATCAGCCATAAACTGAGTAGGAAACACATGACTTCCTCATGATCACTCTAGTTACAGTCCTTACAGCGCTAGAAAAGTTGGGTACAGGACAGAAATTAAGAGGTCACAGCCTTTGAGCAAATTCTACTGGCAGACCTACAGCTGATTATGACAGGCTAAGGGTTGGGGTTTTTTTGGTTAAGAATGACAACAACAAGAGAAAAACTAAATTTAATTTATTTTATCAAAAACTATAGGAAGATAGCAATACTAGAGATCACACATTATGAAAAGAAAATGTTCCTGAGCTTACAAACTGCATATTCTAATGTACACAGTCCTAAAATATACATTAGAAATAACCAAAAGATGGACTTAACTTTGAGATTAAATAACTAGACAATAGCTTTTCTTACAGGTGACCCTGCAGCTTTAGTTTTGCTACCAAAAGAAACAGACAAAAGAACCCAACAGAAAATGAACTGCTAGAGGATGGATCACAGGCTACCAGTCTCTAAGAAGTGCATACACACAACTGAACTGGTGGCCATGATGATGCTAACAGGCCACAAAGCAAAACAAAGGCAGAAGCTAGGCTGGTTTAGGCTCCTTAAGAAACTGAAAATTTTTCTCCTTTTCCAACTTGGCAATTTTCCCCCACACTCATACAAACAGCAAAAGGAGTTTTAAAAGTGACACAGTGTCCCATTAAACTAATTCACTGACTGCAATCCAAATGCATTGTGAATACGTAAAATATAAAATACTGTTCAAGGCTCTAAATTGGAAACCGGGTACATGGGTTTAGTTCAAATAAATACAAAATACTGTTACCTCCCAGAACATAAATTAACGGTCCTTTATTTATCACACAAGAGGTAACACACATATCCTTAAAGAACAGCAGTGTTATTCCAATGCTGGTGGTAACATATACTGCCCTGGGAAAACGGCAGACACTGAACTCAAGTACAACTTTTAAGACTTTTATCTTTTAAAATGCATTTACTTGCCATTTTTAAATGAAACTGGGCATGGACATAGATAGACAAAACGAGTGTCAAACCAGCCCTGTGTCATCTTGTACAGAAGAGGCCAGAGAAACCGATTTGGTAAGGAATCCGTTTCTTGCCGCAGCCACTCTCGCCATCCTGTACCCACAGGCAAGGCTGCAGACTGCAGTGGATTAAGGAGCTGGAGACTGCAGATTCCATCCACGTGGAATGCATCGCTGAATCGGGCTACATGCAAGAGAAAGCACTAATGACTCCAAATGATGCAAGATCATCTGGAGTTTGCTAGCATTAACGCTCCACATTCCACTTCTACTTTATATTAAAAAAACCCAAAACAATCATCAGAGATGTGGCATGATAGAAGTTGACTAGATTCAGCATTTATCCAAGTGTGTGGATACAGGTGAGCCTGGTAATATCAAATAGTTTTAAATCGAAGCAAACTTCCTCCTATTCATTAAACAATATAAAGTATCTATTTCAACGTGTATCTCTTTGTATTGCAGATTACAAAACTCACACAGCACTTTCAATGGCCCACACTCGTCGCCCCAACCGTGAAACTGATTTTGACCAGTAGCATATAAAATTTCACTTTCTGCCAAAGAGCCGGATCTTCAGTGCAAATGCAACTGGGCTTCTTAATGAACAACCAACCTGTATTATCCTTTGAAACACTCTTTTTGGAGTGCTAGTAATTAACATGAAATTTAAGGCATTTTCTAACAAATTAAGTAAACAGTTATATGCTGGGTACTCAACTTCATTCACCTGAGCCAACAGCTGTGCACCTTATAAAGGTAACCAGCTGACCTATGATACATAGCTAGCATACATTTATGAAGCATCCATTTATGGAGCAACATTATTCTGCCTGACCCTATCAACATTTACATGATTTATAAGCAATATGCAAGTTTTACAAGCTTTTAATCCATGAGAATAAAGCACTTAAATCATCCCTGGAGCATGGACCGTGGCTGTAACTCTACTCGTAACCTACATCAACGGCTCTTCAGTGTTTCTGAAGCCAAGCAAAACTTAGCATACATTATGAATAGATCGAGACAACTTTAAGATGATCAGGAAAAAAAAAAAGACTCAAGCAGCTGAAGAACAGTACATTTCTCAGCCTTTACATTCGAGAACACCTCACAAATGTCTACAGCAAATGGGTAAACTCACCCCTAGTCTAACTTCACTGAAGTTAACATTTTTGCAACAAGAAAAAACAGGCCTAGTATCTTAAAAGTCTGTCACTAGATAAAAAAAGTCACAGTATGTAAAAACTTAATCAAAACCAGTTGTGAATACAAATCAATTCCCAGGGTATTTTTCACCTAAAAGATAACTGAGCATATCTCCGTAATGCGTCAGCTTTGTTAGACAACGGGCTGCTCTCCCTATTCTTTTATCTACTTCCAAACTGTAGCCAGTAATTTGTTTCAGCAATGACTGCCAAATTTCTGCAGTGAAAACAAACAGCGTATGTTACTACCAATAATCCAGTATTTACAAATTCTCTGTAGAACTGCAGACCTCCTATAGCATCCTAACTAAAAATCGTAACAACTGGAAAAAAAAAAAAATCTATTTGTAAAACTTCTAAATAACATCAGCTAAAAATGTTCGAGACCTTGATCTTACATCTGGAACCTGCTAAAGCCAATTGCTTTACTTGTGTGGAGTTCAATGGACATTCTACAATTTGCATTCCTGTGAACCTTCATTTAGACACAGTCTGATGGCTGTCCTTAATCCTTCACCCTGGTGCCATAAATGTTATTGCTAATCTCCTGAAGTTTTTCTTTATACAACAAAAAAGCAAAAGAACTGTCAGCTATGATTTAGCATTCAAATCAAATGCCTCCAGACTTTTCAAGGTACAGAACGTACATAACATCACTCTGTCCCACTGACATCAGCTCCTAAAAAGCCTACCGCTGTAAGCTCTCACTCAAATATTCAAATCAAGGTACATTTCAGAGAGTTTTCTTAGCATACATTTTACTGCTTCCTAAATAACAGTCCTAGAAAAATCAATTTTTAATCCCCATTATCAGTTCTGTATTTGCCCAAAACACTACATCTCTTTCTTTGGCCAATGCCATTTCAATTACAAACGTAATGCCTTGTTTTCACTGTACTTATTTACATTAGCTGTAAGAATACTTGAATGCATGTGTGAAAGAAGAGTCTTCTTAAAACACATTTCAAAGAGAACAAAGTAATTGTGACTTTGGATACCCAAACTCAGTTGAGATAGCCTCTGCAACACACAGCTCCGCATTTACAGACAGTTCTGATCCTCTTTCTGGATGGGCTAAGACCATCAGCAGAGTCTGTCGTCAGATCTATTGAACCTGTAACACAGATAAACACAAATAAAGAAGTTTTAAAAGACAGACTGAAACTGTGCTAAGTATTCAAATGGCTTCAAAAAGCCTTCTACCACCCCAGTTCTTAAAAGAATTGTGTGTGAAGCTATACTCCAGTTCTACCGACACACACATTACGACTACTTACAGCAGACCTAGCGCACGTGTCAGAATCCAAAGCCTGACAAACTCGAGCCTTGTACCCTCAGGTCTGCATCCACACTGGCTGGCTGAGACTGCAGCCTGCCTTGAACGTTAGTGTTGCAGACACCACAAGAAAGAGGAGTTTTAAGGATTTAAGTAGGATCAATTTGTCAGCACTTAAAGAGAGCTTCTACAAGGAAGTACAGCTCTGGAGTACAGATGCGCTCCTCTGAAAACTGAGTAGTGGGGCCAACAATACATCGCTGTTGTGGATAAATGGTTTGCACGCAAAGTTGGACACGCACCACACCCCTGCCACCAAACCTCAAGAATTTTTTATTATACTGAAAAAAAAAAAAAAAAAAAATTAAGTCACAGAATGGTTTGGGTTGGAAGGGACCTTTGAAGACGACCTCGTCCAACCCCCTGCTGTAGACAGGGACACCTTGCACTAGATCACGTTGCTCAAAGCCCCATCCAACCTGACCTTGAACACTGAATGAAAGATCAGTGATCGAAGAATCACCGAACAGCCCAAGTTGGAAGGGACCTCAAAGGATCAACTGGTGCAACCTTTCGTGGGCAACTGGACCCTGTCCAATCCCATCTTAAAAACCTCCGGTGGTGGGGACTCCACCACCTCCCTGGAGAGGTTGTTCCAGTGAATGATGGTTCCCACTCTAAAAAATTACTTTCTTAATTATCAAAGAGCTGATCGTATTTCATCAAGAACTTTGTTTCCTGAAGTCTCCACATAATGATCAAAGCATCCAGCCTAGCAAAACGGCAGTAAACTTCAGACTGTTCTTCTTCTGTCCTAAACATCTGTACATCCTGTGGACCTACATCCACAACTGAGGCCTACAGACACCAGAATCCGGAGTCAAATGTATGGTGCCTTAGACCGCTCAGCTGTTACAACTGTCTTTGTAACTATCACTAGCAGATTACTTTGAAAATAGTTTACGTGAAATGCCATGTAAATACCTTTGAATAAAGGAAAGCTTTGTTTAATGGTAGCCTGACCATTCCTTTGGGCATTCCTGTGACAAATCTTCAAAATAATTTGCCTCGTCAGACATTCCAACCGCAACCCCTTGGTGTGAGCCAGGAACACTGAAGGAGGTAATGTACCAGAGGTGCCCACAAAAGCTTCTGGGTGCACCCTGTCGGTGCTACACCTCAGTGAGCGCCGTCTGTTCTAGAATCCACAGAGCTGTGTTAGGGAGATGCAGTGCCTGACCTGAAATGCTAACATCAGTCAGGCTGCAACAGAACTCGCCAGTGCCCCAAACCTCCTGCAAGAACAGTGTTAAAATCTGCAGACCTTTCATCTGATAGTCAAAAGTTAGCTCTTCTCCAGCCTTGATGGTTCGTGTAGAAAACAGCGCTATTCGAGGAAGACGCAAGTCGAGGTTATCGATAAATACATTGAAGACTTGAAGATTTGGATCACACTGTAAGGCAAAAATTTACATAGTCTCTGTTAAGAAAACTGCACAATAAATTTCACTGAAGTGTTTAAGTGAACCAAGGTCACAGGAAAGCAAGAACTGGTTCTTCTCTCAGTGACAGAAGTCTGAAATGGATTTCAGAAGAGAACAACAAATTACATTCTTGAAATAGCGTTAAATGTTAAAGGAGAACATTCATAGCTTAGGGCTGAGTCCTTTCAAGAAGGCAACCTTTACAGAGTACATAGACTACACTAATATGCAACAGCCGATTAAAAAAACAATATGGTACCTTCAAAAGATGACAAACAAAGGTTTGTAGGTAAATACTAAGGTTAGTATTTACCTACAAAACCCACAAAAATAATTAAAGTTCAAAGAAAAAAAACCAACTTAGCATTCCAAGCCACACTCACTCAGCATTCTGTGTTTAGGTTTAAGCATTGCTTCCAGGCCAGAAACAATACCTTCACACTGTGAACAAATTTCTATTTTCAACTGCTAACCTGCTTGGCTTCTGAATTATCCACTATGGGCTAGGTGGCAGGGGGAGGATCAAGGACACTAAGCAGGAACTAGAAACCACTTTATCGGTTTTTCTGGATTAAGTGTCAGAAGTCAGTAGTGACTGGGATGGTTTGTAAAACTCTGTGCACTTTTTTGCTCTTTAAGAGTGAAATATATCCCATGTTAAAGAACCAGGAATGAAGTCAGATGTTTAACTTCACACTGAAGTGTGAGAATACTTCACTCTGATTTCCAAAAGTGAAGAGCAACTGGCTGTATCCAAAACTCTTCTTCATCCTTCTCCCTGTCAAGCCCACATGAAATACCAACGCCATCAGCTCACAAAGCTGAAGACATGAATTTACTGTATTTGTAAACACTGACTGCATACCTCACAAATATTACATCAGAAAGAAACAGTAATTTTTAGCTCGGGAATGATACACAATTCCTTTCCAGATGCAGTTCAGCCTGCTTGCTTTAGGTACTTCAGTTGAACAGGAAATAAAACACTACAAAAATTTCCCATTTAAAATTTACTTTTGAGTGCTTTTACAAGTTTAGATTTGATATGAGGGGGGAAAAAGGTATCTACAAGGGAAAAACACCAAAGAAAGCATAGGAATTTTCAATTTTTTCCTCTACCAGTGTTTGAAGGACAACATTCGGCATAACCCCCCATCCTGCCCTGCTACAAAATAATGCATCAATTCCTATCATTCACTAATTCACTAATTTTATTAAGTACTTCTCGAGCATCGCGTCTTTCAGTTACTTGGAAAAAACCCACACCCAAACCAACCCTATTTTGGTTGTCTAGAATGAGCAGAGTCAGTGACAACCCCAGTGCTACCAGCTGCCCACTGCAGGCAGCATCTCACTCCCAGATTTTTGTAGGTAGTCCTACTCCGAGTAAGGCTAAGTATTCCGTTCTATGTATTATGTCATCTAACTGACTGGACCGTGCTGGCATGAAACAAACCACTCAAGAAAAACTGTGAATATGGTAAGAAAATATTTACAATAGAAGATATTTCTGGCACAATTAGGATAATTCTCCAAATTCTTAGTATACAAAACAAGGTCTTACGCTGTGATTCACAAAGTGGGACACATTTCCATATCGAGCTGCATCTACTGTAAATTCATCTGAGTCATAGTCCAAATCAAACAAGTATGTATTTCCCTGGTTGTCATAGAGCTGGCCTCGTCTCTCTGCTTCCTCACTTGTAATCACCTAAAAAGAGAGAAAAAAGAAACCTGCATCATATTATTAACTATTACTAAATTAAAACAAAAATCACAACCAAGTTAGGAAAAAAACCCACTTTACTTAGTAAATATCACATTTGCTTTTTGTTGTTGAAATAGCATTCCATCTCTAATGAATAAAGAATACATACATACATACAGCTAAACTAATAAGCGACTGAGGCTTCTCTGGATGTAATTTGTCTACAGCTGATACACAGCGCTACCTCATCTCAGGAAAATAAATATCAGCACCTTCTATTACAAGTTTTGATGATGACAGATACAATCAACTGTTTCTACTTGAAGTTTCTATACACACAATTTTTTCATTAGACCCAGAAAGCCTTGTTTACTTCACATAAAATAAAATTTCAACTTTCTCCCTTTGCACAGGCAAAGATCAACAGGTATCAGTCTTTACAACCCAGTCATATTTACAGTCCAGTATTCATCTCCTCCCTCCCTAGAAGCACCTCTTCCTGCTATTTTTGACAGCAATGAAAGATCCTATTCATGACAACTTAAGACAGATACATCCCTTCAGCTGAATCTACGGAATTAGGCTAGCATGTTTCAGCACAAGGTAGAAATCCATAAACTCCCCAAAGGAAGAGAAGAACTACAGTCACTTTTGACAGAAGCAACAGCTTAAACAACTTCATCTACACCCCTTTGCGTTGAACGTATTCTGTTGTGCTGACTCAGCAATCACAGTTTGTCAGCATGACAGATATGAAATGTGGAACTGGACAAAAAATCCCTCTAAAATCTTTCCCAATTTGAGAACTTATTCAGCAGCAGGGAATAAGCAGATCCAGGTGAAAGGGTAAATACACACTCTTTCCTTTAGGCAACAAATTACATAATCGCCTTTCTGCATTAACCCCTCAACAGAGCTATTTTGCATGACTGATCTCTTGTACTTTTACAAGAAAGGTACAACCGTGAGACGTTAGATGATTTGGGGCAGGAAGGATGGAGGAAATACAATAAAGACCATAAACATTTGTACGAAGGGCCGGCAGGAATTATTCTGAGTCAACTTAGTAGCAAGGCAGACTTGTGGCAGAAATACAACAGACGGGATCAGAGAGGCTGCCAGGAGCTACCGACGTGAAGAGCCCTGAAGCAGAGCAGAGGCCGAACCAGATAAACACAGGGCAATACAAAATCTCGAGACTAACTCAAGGTCTGTGTTTTATAACATGAAACGTCTGTCTGAAATAGTAAGAGATCAAGTAAACAGGTAACATCCATACTACAAGTCTTATTCTTGATGTTAATCAAAAGTAATAAATATGTTTGGAAATACTAGCTTAGAAGTTCAGACAAAACAGGAAAGGGACTGACAGACTGGGTGTGTGGAGTCTGGTAACGTCTGTGCCTGGGAAACAGCAAAAACTACAATAATAAAGATGATCAGGGAACAATATGACTGCCATGAAAGAAAAGAAGGACTTGCCTTTAGAAATACTACTAGGGCACATATCTAAAATAATCATTTAGCAACACACAGGATTATTCTCTTTACACTCAACCTTTTACAATTGCCCTGGAATAGAGGGCATTCTGGACAATACATTTTTTCTGTATTCCTCTACTCAAAAGTAGACTAATCTATTGTATAGTAGAAGTCAAGAAGTGTTAAGACTGAGAGTAAGCTCATCAAGATTTTTCTCCAACATTTCCTATACTGTAAATAATTCATCTACATGAGATAAATACATACCTCTCCAACATACTCCATCACAAAACTGTTGGTTTTAATTTTCTGGAGGGTCTTTACTCCCCAACCACGGCCATTGTTAGTTCTGAAGATGCAAAGAGAATACGGTGTACCTTTCTGTACTATCCTATTAGGGCAGTCAGGCCCACACCTACAAAATGAATTGCATTCATAGATGGGCAAGCCGGGCTGGATTTTCAACTTCTTTTGTTTATTGTAAGCCAAAATAAAACCAGCCTCCTTTGGACAGCACTTCTCAGCGGGGCAGTCAGCGCACTCACAGCCAGTCGTTATTCCATTTATTACATTTATTCCCGGAGCAGGTTTATACTCATTAATGTAGTAGAAGTCTAAAGGAGGGCCTTCAAGATCCACAGTGTTTTCTACCAGAATCATTGCTTTATGATTCTTTTTCCTGTTGAGTTCTTCTTTCCATCTCTGCAGAGCTATTCTTTGCTTAGCCTTCTTTACAATGTAATCTGCAACCGCAGGTTTCAAAGCTTTAACATGGTTTCTCACTTTCAGTGCTTTGCCTTCTCTCACCCGAGACAAGTATTCATTCTTGTCACTAAGAAAGTTTTGAAGAAGCAATGGGCATTTCAGATTTTTCTGAGGCTCCCAAGTATTTGAAGATTCTGGCCATCCTTTCCATTTCACAAGATAGTATTCTGTGCCCTTGAAATACAGAAACAGATATAGATTCAGCCACATTTCTTTTTGCCGAAATCCAGCATCACAGAGTACACAGACAAACACAAAAGAGCTCTGGAGTTAAGAAACAGCATACAGTGCTGAAGGTCTTGATGTCCCCATAACAATTAGAATTGGGGAAAAAGAGAAAAATCAAGTTTTCTGTTTGCAAATTAACATAGAGTACAACTTTGGATACTTCACATATCATCTCTAGGGGCAAAGAAATAAACAGCCGGGACGAACCTTGATCACTAACATTATACCTGGAGGAGGCTAGTTTCTTAAGGGCTGTTAGGTAAGTTATACTAACTAGTTGCATGACTCATACGTACAGGCAGAATGTAGCTGTATCACGTACAGAACAAAAAAAAAAAGTTCTAAGCTTACTGAAAAAATCTCTAAAAAACACTATTTGTCGTATCAACCATCCTCCCAAAGTAATCCATTCAACACACGTAATATTTTATTTATAATCAAGGAGCATACATTTTGTACTTATTTTAAAAAGGCCAAATAACTCTAAGAAGGCCAAATCCTGAGACTGAATTTCACTGGCACGATCAAGCCGTAGGAATCCAGTTGCAGCACATGGCCCTAACTCTTCATCAAACAGACTACAACAGTCAAGAGAGAAATATAGACTGTTACCTGCAAATAAAGGAGAAGCACCATAATACATACCAAGCTACAACCTAAAAGCATCAGCATTTTGCTTAACTTCTAGATACGCAAAGGTGAAACATTTCATAATCTGACATCTCTGTAATTTCAGAAAAAGACCTTCCTTTGACATACTGAAAGCAGTACTTATACCGCTTTCTGTTTACAGGTCAAAGTTTAAAAGATGTTTCGTTCAACATCAGCAAGAGCTTTGTCCTCACAGCCTGCTACTTTATATTATGAGCAAAACTTCCTTCGGCTCACTTCCAAATTTCAGCTGAAAGAGTGATCAAATTGGTCTGTGTTTCTCTTACCTCTTCTACCTTGTAGTCACACAAATATTCCACCTCATAACTCTTTAGATTCCTGTTGAAGATTCCAATGGATTTACATCTGAGATTTTCCTTCCTACATAATTCTTGGAGAGTCTCAAGTGAAGCTAGACATGGCACATACCAAGCTACAATAAGAAAATTGGTAAAGAATCCTATTTAATGTCTCGGCTAGATTGAAATCATTACGCCTTATCCCAGAGTCCCCACACGATCATTTGTGACAGCATTCCGTGAGTCTCTTGTACAACTACAGCGTCTCAAACTCAACCCTCTCCAAGGGGTAAAGCGAAGCACGTCAACGACTCCCTCCCTGCACCTTTGTTCTGCACAGCACGTACATTTATAAACAGCAACAAATATTTTGGGGGGCGGAGACTTCCACAGGTGAAAGCTGCACTAAGAACCGAGTAGTTTTCCTACAAGTCCAGCATCCCGTCACTGCACTACGGCCACAAGGACACCTCCATTCTTTCGCAAGACCGCCAAGTATCTGTAGGTAGCCAAGGGGAATCGAGCACTTGCGATGCAACCATGGTGACCGGACGAGGACAGAGAGATCCGCCGCGCTCTTCCAGAAGGATCGCGGTGCCGGGCCAGCTCGGCAGCGCTCAGGGGCCGCGAGGGCCGGC